AGGTTAGGCTAGGTTAGACTAGGTTAGGTTAGGCTAGGTTAGGCTAGGTTAGGTTTAGGCTAGGTTTAGAACTAGTTAGGTTAGGTTAGGTTAGGCTAGGTTAGACTAGGTTTTAGGTTTAGGTTAGGCTAGGTTAGGCTAGGTTAGGTTAGATAGGTTAGGTTAGGTTAGGCTAGGCTGGGTTAGGCTAGGTTGGGTTAGACTAGGAGGTTATTGGCAGGTTAGGCAAAGCAAAAGTTATTAGGAAAGATTGGGTCAGAAAACATGACAAGTGCCCGTCACTGGTCTAATCACATAATGTCCCATAAAGCATCTTTTGGGCTGTATGAAACCTTCCACGCTTCCCATTCCGACATAAAAATTAAAAAATCACAGATTCAAAGGATATAGGAAAGCACTTTTTTGGGGAAAGAGTTGTGGTAGGGGAAAAAAACCCCCAAAGTACAGTTAAAAGGGGCCAGAACGTTGTGTAGTTTTAAAAAAATGGGTTGAAAAATACTGATAGATTGGTGGGGGGGAAGTTGGACCTGCAAACCTTGTCTGCGGGGTCTGGGGCAGTGCCCCTTTCCAAAAGTGGATGTGACCTGACTGGGGGGGTCGGGGTCTAAACTGGGGGTGATATGGACCTGCCTCACATGGCCATGGGCCCTGCTATTTTTTCATTTTTTATGTTCCTAATCCCAGGATGAAGACATGATCCCAAGGATGATATACGTATGACACCGGGATGATATGACTGAATAAAACACCAGATAATGATTACTGTCCCAAAAAGGTTTTTCCCCGACATCATCTCAAAAAAGGCTAGAGCCCCACTTTGTGACAGTGTCCCCCAGTCAAGACTGAAGATTTTCCTGGGTTGACATACCAATCACTAAAGTGTGCCATATAAAGGGCCGGGAGCGTACTCAACCCCTCAACCAAAATAGGTGAGTAACAATGGGTTAAGTGAGCTGTTTTATAAACAAAAAAATTTACTTTAAACCAGAAAAGGGGGGGACAAAGTTGACCACTTACTTTTAAACTGGTACACCCTGCTAAAAGGAGGTATAGTATTGGGTGGGAAGAAAAGGTGGGGGTAACAGGGGAAAGAAATAAAACAGACGTGGGGGAAGGGAAGGGTGGGTGGGAGAGGAGAAGTACCGACGGGAAAGAGCATCAAAAACAACCAAGACACATGGTACTGCAAGGCACGTGATGGCACACGCCAGTGTCTTGACACTCAGGAGGCCCCCCCCCACACAACAAAATTTGCTGTGATGCAACAGTAACAAGAAAGAACCACAAATCTGGTCCCGGTAAGTGGGTGTTTGGATTTAATCCAGCGAATACTATTGTGAGGGAAAACAAACATAAAGGTATTGAGGGGCAAAGATTGTAAAACTCGCTCAGAAAAATCAGGAGTGAACATAGTGCCTGTAATCATCTTGTGTCTGTCAAACGCAAAGCATTTGTAACCAAGCGGGTTATCAAAACATCCCGTTTCTGTCAAACTGTCAGAACTTTGAACCAAGTCTTTACACAAAAATCTCTGTGTGTTTCAAACTGTCAGAAGTATTTGTAACCAAGTCGGTTACTTCAACATCATCTGTGTGCTGTCAAACTGTCAGAATATTTGTAACCAATCGGTTACTACAAAATCAGTCGTGTGTCTGTCAAACTGCAGAATATTTTTTAACCCCAATCTGGTTTACTTTAACATCAGTCTGTTGTCTGTCAAAATGTCAAAGATTTGTAACCAATCGGGTTATTTAACACATCTGGTTCTGTCCAAAAAATGTCAAAGTAATTTTTAACCAAAATCTGGTTTTTCTACAACATCGTCCTGTGGCTGCAAACTGCAAAGTATTTTTAACCAAGTCTGGGTTTCTTCAAAACATCTGTGGGCCCGCCAAACTGCAGAAGTATTGTAACCAAGTCGGTTATTCAACATCAGTCGTGTGTCGTCAAACTGTCAGAAATATTTTTAACCAAGTCTGGTTACTAAAAAACATCAGTCCTGTGTGTCTTAAACTGCAGAAGTATTTTAAAACCCAATCTGGTTCTTCAACATCAGTCTGTGTGTTGTCAAACTGTCAGAAGTATTTGTAACCAAGTCGGTTATTCAACATCATCTGTGTCTTTCAAAATGCAAAGTATTTTAACCAAGCTGGGTTTCACAACCTCAGCTTGGTCTGTCAAACGCAAAGTATTTGTAACCAATCGGTTTCTACAACCATCTTTGTCTGTCAAACTGTCAGATTTCGTAAACCCAAATCGGTTACTACAAAATCATTGTGTGCTGTCAAAAAAGTCAGAAGTTTTTTAACCAATCTGGTACTACACAGTCGTTGGGTCTTTTCCAAAATTCAGAAGTATTTGTAACCAAGACTAAGTCGGGCTACACATCATTCAGATGGGGGTTTTTTGTGTTCACAATGACGTGTTTTCCTCTTTTGGTAATTATTGTTTTTTATACAGTTTCATCTTGTGTTTTTTCCCCCGATTTTCGTATATCTCAATAACTGCAACTTGTCAACACTGAACAATATAGTCTTCAACACTGTGTTGTGATGTCTCTCTCTGCTACCCAGGTGACTTACATGGTTAATTTCCTAAAAAGGTTTGCAAGATTTACCTGTAATCTTACAGGCTGGTGAGACAGAAAGATCTGTCACTCAGGTAAAGTGCAACAAGGTTCTCCTTGACACTTGTGAGGTTGACAGTGCCTCTTCGAGCTGAGGTTCAGGAAGCTGATAGTGCCTCTCTGAACTGAGGTTCAGGCTGATGGTGACTCTCTGAGGTGAGGTTCACGAGGCTGATAGTGCCTCTCTGAACTGAGGT